TGTTGGTGACCCTAATGTTATCCCTTAGTGCGGCGCGGTCCCGGGACAGTCCCGCGCGAGGGGACCCGTAGCGAAGTGTTTGTCGGCAAGTGTTACTACTTAACAGCAAATTACAACACAAATAATCTCTTAAACATGTGATAAAATCGAGAAAGTGTAACTATGTACATAAATCTTTTTCAACCTATTGGGATCCAAAAAAATTTGGTGAATTTACCATAGACTCTTTAAAGAGCTGGCCAGATTTTCGATTGATTTAACCTTCGTGATCGTGATTATATCATTGTACAACATATTATCGTGAACATAGAGGCCTTACGTTTTTTTGCAAAAATATTTTTTTTCACTCATACTTACATAATATCTTCGTAGAGCGCTACTAAGTTGTTAATCAGATAGAGTTCCTGCATTATAAATATCGGCCCTATTCAAATCAACGAACAAGTGAAGCCAGGGCTAAGAATACGTCAGCTCTTAAAATTAGTCTCCTCGAATCGCGTCCTATCGATCGTCCTCAAAACAAACACTCGGGAAAGCTCCTAAATCACACAAGTTAATTTCCCAATTCCACAACACGACTTCAAAACACACGCCTACGGAATCGCGCACCGACAAATTGTTTCCACGACGTTACGAATACGGCCCTTAGACTAATGCGCCCAGTTTGACGAGACCCTTAGAATAGCCTCATGAGCCCTTGTGAGGCCAGTGAATAGTTTGGCAGGAGAGAGGTGGGTAGGTCACGTTACGGTGGTGATTGTCACATACAAGTAATAAATTGCTGGGTCCGCACATTCGCGCGTCACGCGTCATTAAGGCGCGGAATTCGGCAAATTAACAATTACACGAGCCGGGCGTATGTTAATTAGTGAACTCGCACGTAACGGGGTACTCCCCGCGGGTGGAGGAGACACAGCGTCACAACCACACAGACAATTTTATGAGCTGCTATTAGTCTTGCGTGTAAACAAATATTACTTTGGATACTGGTACAATTATGCACTCCAATCATGAGTTATAATGAAGAGTTAAGTGATTAAAAACAATTCAACATCTTTTTAAATGTCTCCATTAAAAACAAACAGTATGTGATAAGTACTAAAAATTTATTCAGAGTAAAGTATTTTTAAAAGCTGGTATAACTATTGAATTCTTTGCGAGAAAGAAACCAGCAGTATTTTTGTTTTGTTTTGATGGTCTTGCTCATTTTAAGCCACAATACGAGTAGCCATGATAGCTAGCATATGAAACAAGAAAGCTTAATCCTTCCATACGTTAACCCTAAACTTATCGAGCAATTGAATTCGGGACAAATCCCGAGCAAGCCGGCCGTGATCCCTGTAATCCACGGTAATAATTGGTGGGTGTAGGCGAGGGGTCAACTTCGGTATTTTGCACATTATGCGTAGCTGCACGTTAGGGTAGCAATAAGCTAGCTTTTGCTCATACTTCTACATTACTTATTCGTTTCTAGACATGCACGCACGCTCTCTACCTTAAATCCTACCAAAACTTACCTAATTATTATCTTCTTCACAGGGTAGTTACCAAAAAGTTTATGGAGGAATTTAAGCTATTACTATTTTAATCAAAAAAGTGTACCTGCTATGGCATGGTGATAACAAATAGTTATCACCAGGCCGTTTTCAGTAAATTATAATTTGCATTTGTATCTTCTTTATTTGGTAATTTTTACATTAATTCTCTCTCATTATTATTATCTCACAATCTTATCCACACTTCTAAGCAATGAGTAATTAGTGGTACAAATCCCACGTAGCTCGGTGAGATCAGTGTCCCGCCACCGACTAGTGCCGGCGGCCGCGGGACACAATCAATAACGGGACGGATTGGCGCGAAGGGTTTACGCTGACACTTCCACTTACAATGGAACTTGTCTCTTAATCCCATTTTTATTAATGAATTAATTCAGATTAGTCACAATTGGCGTCGATAAAAACACCATCGGATTTAATTACTACTACTGAATAATAAGTAAGCAAATAACTAAAAATTTGGCAATGCATTTATAATATCTCTTATTTTGTAAATGTCCTTGGGCAACGGTAGCTAAGCCACATCGAGTAGATCATCAGCTAACACGCCATGTTCGTGAAAAGTCATATTCTATGGTCATAGTCTCATCAATTTTTCCATTGTAAAAATACTTTACCTAATTATATTGGACAAGCCTGTTCTTATTTCAAATCTTACTAAAATGGTAAACTCTTTGATGAAGTAGACAAGCCTGAAAATACCTATTTATTCAGGGGTGGTCCCCGCTCTACTCGCTTCGTAGCGAACAAAATGTTGAAATTACCAACTTTTCCGCGAAATCGTTAACGAGTTCGCTGAACGCCGAATATGACTACCGAAAAATCATTAATAAATTGATTAATAACGGATATAAAACAAAGGTAATTCAATTTATAATTTTGCCGTCATCTGCACCAATTAAGCTATAATTAAAATCCACAATCAAAACTTCCGAGATGTGAATTGTACCGAATATGAATTTCTATTTAAGCATTTCACATCAGGGATAATTTAATGGTTAATTCAAGTAATATTAGTAGAATTACGAAATATGTTAACACGTTGAGTGCGATACCAGGTCTATAGACCTTGTGTACGTCTCGCTTACCGTGCGGCTAAGAAAATTATAGTCTTCCTTGTCGTGCGAAAGGCATAACTTCAATTGGGTCCGGTGTAGGAAAGTGATGAATATATATCTATGATGTATTCTTAAAATAGAATCCAATGATGTACCTACCTTAATACCAGGTTTTTAGACCTGGTACCGCACGGAAGTAATAAAATGTCTTCACAATGCGAAACCAGGTCGAAGCGCCTTGTACCCTGCGCACCTGGTACCGCACCCCACGCTAGCTTCGTGCAGCCAGTGTTGCCTCGCATTCGTAAGAAACGCACATGTCGACATGGCGTCAAGAGAAACAAACAGAATCAAAACTGCAAATTGATTATAATTTAATTTGCTACACGATTTATTGCTAATTTAAATAATGTTTTTCGTGACAAACATTTGAAGTTGTAACTAAATGTTATTAAATTATATGTTTTCTTTAAATATAGCTTATTTAAGTATTTATGCACGTATGTCTTATTTGTAAAATATTTAGACTAAATTATTAAAACATCTTTGTTTGTTACTTTTTTAAATTTTTATTAAAACTTAATTTAAACTATCGATATTTGTATTTCACATCCCTAGAATACCCACCAGACTTCCCTACTTCAGTGCGGCACAGGGTGCATAAGCCTTGTATTTTGAATATAGCTATAATTTTTATACTAAACAAGTTATTCACGAACGCCTTCAGGTGTATGTCAATAAATGCATTATTATTAATATTCAAAGAAAAAAAACACAATATCTATTAACATGAAGCCAAAAATAAAATTAATATATCTTAAATATTACAAGGTCTTTAAGCCTTGTGCCGCCACAATGAAAGTTTTAATACCAGGTTTATTGACCTTGTACCGAAGGAATGGAAAGTATTAGAAAGTTACTGCCGCAGCAAAGGTGTTAAAACAGATAATAATGCCGTGATTGGACTAATCAGTATTAACGTTATGCGGGCAATGTGTGCGGAGGGGGCCGGGGGAGGGGGAGGGGGGAGGGGAGGGGGCGGGCCGCAATATAATGCTAGCGGAGTATTAATTTGCGCGAGCGGCTGGATAGGGTTTAATTAACAAATTTAATTAGAAATTAACTGTTTTGCTCGGGACTGTGCAGGGCTGCCAGGGAAAGGTGAAATCTGCGGCTCCAGTTTCGCTTAAATTATCGTATTGAGTACAACCGAACTTCTAAAAAGTCTATTATTTAATTACGGGCTTATTCTGCTTACAAAAACCAACTTTAGACAATGTACAATTGCCAGTTTGTGATTCTTCTCCTTATAAGCTTTTCTCATTTTAATATGTTATAGTGCTAAAAGTTGATAAAAAAATCTTCATCATGAGTGTGATTGAAAGAAAGAAAAGTTTATTATAATGATTGCGGATACTACATAAAAAAATCCTTTCAAATTCGAACGCATTAAGATATTTGGACATAAGGTTTTCGATTGAATTTTAACTATAGCACCACTCTGAGCCTGTTTTAATTGGATATAGTTTTACTAACTAATTATTCAGATGAAATTGATCCCACACTGTATTAAAATTACTATGTTTGTCCCTTTGGCACCCCTACGCGTCGCGTGGAGCGTTTGGAAATTTAATTTAGTTAGGAATTGTGTGGGTAATTGGTTTGTTTTGAGCGCTTAGTTACCCGCGCCTGATACACTGTGATCGATTGGCGCGGTCGGACATTCTTACTTCTGTGCCCGGAACTTTGGAAAGGGTAGGGAAATTCATTATCAGAAGTCACTTGGTGATGTGGTAATTATGTCATTAGTATTCAACTGAAATTCAACTCGTATCTATTTCTTTTCTTATACAGGGTGGAATTTTGTAATGCCACCTGGAGGGGAAACTACTCTTAATACTGTAGATAGAAAATTTTACTCATACTTTTATAAATACTCATGCTATCCTATAATAAAATTAATGGTATGGTGGTGAATTTTCGAAAAAGAAATCGGAAATCTTTGAATGCAGTTGCATTTCTTTTAAAAAATAAGGGAATGTTTTCTTTGAGTAAAATTTTTTATCTACAGTGTTAAGAGTACTTTCCCTCCAGGTGGCATTACAAAATTCCACCCTGTATAATGAAGACGAAGAACACAGTCAAATTGGGATAGTGTGTGCTCAGTTGCAAATACTTCATTTGCACACTGTTTGAAATAATGCCTACTAATGCGGTTTTTTTCTAAGTAGGTAAGCTTGTAATGCGACGGATCACAGTCTGCTACAATATAATAACATAGTATAAGTTGGTAAAAATAAATAAATAAATAAACATTTCAATCTCAAAATTCTTTTAAAAATAGCGATCGCATTTTCACATCATTCACCTAACGTTTCATTCGCAGGTGTGGTTCCAAAACCGGCGAGCGAAATGGCGCAAGACGGAGAAGTGTTGGGGGCGCTCCACCATCATGGCGGAGTACGGGCTCTACGGCGCCATGGTGCGCCACTCGCTGCCGCTGCCCGAGACCATCCTCAAGAGCGCCAAGGAGAACGACAGCGTCGCGCCCTGGCTGCTCGGTGAGTTTAGTGAGTCACTCTTTTCTCTATAGCGTTGATACATGGCAGAAGGATAATACGAGTATATTCGCAAGCGCCAAGGAGAACAACAGTGTTGCTGCTCGGTGAGTTTAGTGAGTCACTCATTTCTGTGTAGGCTTGACATGTGGCAGCAGAATCATACGAGTATATTCATAAGTACCAAGGAGAACAACAGCGCCACTACTTGGTAAGTTAAGTGAGTCACTCTTTTCTCTTTAAGCTTGACATGTGGCAGCAGAATCACTTCCTCAAGAGCGCCAAGGAGAACGACAGCGTCGCGCCCTGGCTGCTCGGTGAGTTTAGTGAGTCACTCTTTTCACTATAGCCTTGACACGTGACAGCAGGATAATACAAGTATATTATAAAATAGGGTATAGCGTAAAGGAGAACAACAGCCTCGCTTTTTGGTGAGTTTAGTGAGTCACTCTTTTCTCTATAGGTTTGGCACGTTGCAGCAGGATAATAACTTCATGAGCGCCAAGGAGAACGACAGCGTCGCGCCCTGGCTGCTCGGTGAGTTTAGTGAGTCACTCTTTTCTCTATAGCCTTGACACATGGCAGCAGGATAATACGAGTATATTCGCAAGCGCCAAGGAGAACAACAGCGTTGCTACTCGGTGAGTTTAGTGAGTCACTCATTTCTGTGTAGGCTTGACATGTGGCAGCAGAATCATACGAGTATATTCATAAGTACCAAGGAGAACAACAGCGTCGCTCTTAGGTGAGTTTAGTGAGTCACTCTTTTCTCTATAGGTTTGGCACGTTGCAGCAGGATAATAACTTCATGAGCGCCAAGGAGAACGTCACTCTTTTGTCTGTAGCTTGACAAGTGGCAGCAGGATAATACGAATATCCCTAAGCGCCAAGGAGAATAACATAGTCGCTGCTCGACGAGTTTAGTGTCACGCTTCTTAGCCGAGGCAGTAGTGCTGGCAATATGGCGCCATGGAGCACGATGAATCCTGGTAGAGTACGGCCTACACTATTCTCAAAGGTACCAGGAAGAACGACAACAAGGGTCAGCGTCACGTCCTAGCTGTTTGGTGAGCTTACAACGAGAAGAAATACAGTAAAACTCTCTTAGCTCTCACGAAGATGATCTCTAGTATGATTACAATTATCCTGCAATGTGCTTACCTGCAAGAGAGAAGTATGGCCCACTATCTTGTTGTAGTACAAAAGTTCCAGAAATAAAGCCGGTGTCTACCCCAATATAAGGTAAGTCTAATTTTGTCACCTCAGACAAACCACGTTATCGACTCTATTTTATGTGACTAATAAACGAAACAATCTTCTTTCATATAATAATTAGTCGCGAATGAAACACGCTACAGACGCTAGAATTAGTATACCTATTAATATTATTTTGTTTATTTGTATTATTTACACATTCCTTTATATTTAACAGCAACGGTTGAATCAAAGTTTATTTAATTTGTTAAAACAATAATTTTGAAGCAAACTCTACGTTTGATTTATGTAAGAACGATACACTTGCTACTACATATTCCCCCTACTTGTTTTGCCTTCGCTCACTTGGTCGTATCTTCAGCTCATAACAAACATTAATATTACTTGAGATTCGGAAATCCAATTTGCAGACGTGCAGCAGTGTCGAGTTTCTTGGTTTAGGGTAGAGTTACCAGAACAGATTAATTAATTATTACTATTCCATGCTCATTCCTACGAATACACCAACAATAGATTTCATGGCGCGAATTAAATTTGATATCGCACAATACTATTGTAATAAACATGCGTATCATTAATATGATCGTACAGCTAGGTATTATCATCAAAACCATGCTACATCAACTCATATGTAAGTAATTACAAATCTGCAAACTATGAACTGATTAATGAATATGAAACCAACTTTTTATCGCATTGAGTAGTCCTAAAGTCAGGAACATACATTTATTATATCACAAACAGTCTCCCAGCTTGCGTTTACTAACAAACAGTATATAATAGTGTCTTGCCACAAATTGCCCATAAATTCCTAAACTTGTACACCCTGCAACTTGCCCACCGCCCACAACGGCGACTCCTGGGCATGATTAAGTTCCAATTCTGACCGTGCTGATTTTGTTCAAGAGTCGAGAGCAGTGTCTGAGGGACCGTAGCGGCGGCCCCCCCTGTCCTCACCACCGGCCCCCGGTGAGTGCACACACACAGACAAACAATCACTGCTATAGACATAATTAGCTGACTTGAACAAAATCTGGCTAAGTCTGATTGGAGTTAATGCATGCCTTGTTAAAGATGCGTGCTTTATTTTTTATGAAAAATATATGGATAATGTTTGATTGATAGGGCTTTAATGGATATTCATAATTGGCCAACAAAATCTTACAAAAACATGTAACCTCAAACAATATTGCTGTGTACTATTCTTAAATAACTAAATAATTAGTGATTAAATTATCTTCAGTAAAATAAAAGCTTGCATACTTAGTTATACTTAATTGTGAAAATTATCAATAAAAAGGTAAAACTTTTATTTGTATAACAGAAACACACATTACAAACAGAAAGTACCAAAAGTAGGATAAAATAGTACCCACAGGACTATATGACATGGTATGGTAAAGCAGAAAGAAAAAAGAAAAAAACATTATGACACATAATATACTTACAGGTACAGCAACGCAAAACGGCAATAGCTCAGTAATTGGTTTACTTAAAAGCAAAACACTGATTTTCAGCTTATTCCATCAAAGTTACTGACTGAAATACAAAGAATTAGTTGTAATTTCATGGTTCCACTAGTTCAAAGACAATTTTAAAGTTCCGATGTCGATTCCTACACCTAAGTAGTGCCAACAACACAACCATAAATAACTGGATAAGCACTCCCTCCCCCCGCCCAAACAAAGAGAGTAATTTTTAATCTCAACCAACAACACAGAGATGTTCATTTTTCGCCTTCAGCCAAACAAAGCGACAAACGTGAAACTGGACCCTATCTCCTTGTGTTAAAGGCTAGTGTGGAACAAGGAGGTGCTGACAGCTTATGAGAAGCCTTTTATTTGCAGCTCCCACGTGTTACTTTGTAGTGTTGCCACGTCCAAATAATGTTTTGTCCCGAGTGAAGAGGAATTTGCGCCGAGATCAGAAACAGACGAATGAGGTTTTGATATCAAAGCGCGGGAGCACTTTCAGGGAGTGATTTATAGAGACGTTGTGTTAGTTCTGAAGAGATTAGTGTTTGAAAGGTTTCTAGAGCAGTTTAAAAATATGTCAAAGAAAATTCACACGTTACTATTGTGCAGTATTTTGATATAATGGCTAGTCCGATAAACAAAATGTACCTTGCCTTAGTTAGATATCTTTATCTCTTATCCTATCAGATAAGAGATATCATCTGATATCTTTCTTTTTATGTGAATTTGTAATAAAATAATAATCCAGTTGGTAAAAAAAGATTGTGCAAGCTATTCGCATTTTATGCATCGCACGTGTACACGTGCCCTGAAAATTCTTCTCAGCGTAAGGGTGTAACTTGAACTCGTTAACACATTAAGTTACTCAAAGGCATTCAACTATCTGATAGTAAATAAAAAATTAAGTGGATAGGAGTCGGAACAAACAAGCAGTATGAACTTTAATCAGTTCTTTGTCTCCGAGTGCAGAAGTTTCATTAAGTTGCGAGCGCTCGTCGGATTGAGCGGATTAAACGGATTAAACGACAGCGCCGAGGATTAATTAATCCGATTGGCGAACAAGCCGCCAGCGCAGCTCCAGTGTACCTACCATGAGTTTACGTTAGGTGTGCTCGCTAGCGAGTACGTCCAAAATCTCTATGAAGATTTTGTTTCTTGAAAGTAGCCGCTAGGGGCGCTGCACAATATGTCATACAATTAATGTAATTTTTTTACGCAGTTGCTAGCGAGCACACCTAACGTAAACTCATGGTAGGCACACAGATCTTGGGCGAGCATTGGCGGACATTTTCACAAGATTACAAGTATACATAGTTGCCTGTGGTACCTAGTAGAAAGGATAAAGTTTGAGACTATAAAATCTGGTGCATTTTTCAAGTGTTCAAGCAATTATAGTCACTTGTTGTAATGATTACCTATTAATAAAAGTATCATCTACACACATGATATGGTAGAGATTGATGGATTCTCAGTATCTGTAGTCTAGAAGTCCTTTCCTGATTCCATAATATCATAAGTAGGCAAAGGTTTTTTACCTTGCGTTATTTTTTCTTGAGTTTACTGTTTTATGTTATTTATACGTGTTTGCAGTAAACATTTATAGTGGAAATAGCTACACATTATTTGTTTACTTAAAACTTACCGGTCTAAATAAAATATTACACAGAACACTATGAGCTACTTTTCGTAGAAACTTCGTAGCACGTTCGTAGCTAATAGATGCTACGAATCTACGAGTAGTTTAGATGCATTAAATCCCTGTTATTTGTTAACAGTTTAAATTTTTAATTTTATGTTATTTTATTATTAGTAGAGATGTATACAAAAGATTTTTGAAAAATTAAATTTTATTTAATAGAGTAAAATAACACAGTGACAATAGTGATATTGTGATAGAACAAAAAATGTCGCTTTCACCACTGCTTATCTTCACAATTTTGTTCTTTTAATAGATGTTTAATAACTTTATCATCACACTATTTTATTGACTACTTATCTGAGCTTCACTATAAAACACTATAACACTCATATTAGTTTGTGTGCATCTAGATTTCCGTAACATTTCACGTTTCGCCGTATCGTATGCCCAAACCACAACTAATCACGAATCAAAACCATAAAACGCATACGATATAAATCACCACAGAACCTAGGTCTCCCCTCCAGGCGGTGACGTCACCCCGCCCGCCGGGTGGGGATCCAACATGGCCGCCATTGTCTAAGCCGTGATTAAGCGCCCTGCAGCTTACATATTAATTATGTACAGGTGCTCTGTTTAACGCGAATGGTAAACACTTTTTGTCCTATGTAAAG